AACAAGCAAATAATCTATTTATTCAGCAATTTTTTTACAAGTATATATATTCCATATACATATATATTTTTTAAATATTTTTTTTTTTAGTTCTTTGCCCTCTCCGGCAATATGTGCAGCGAGGCGTGCATTATTGATGCGAAACCCTGGAGAAATCAGTGGGAACAGTTCAATTGGTGCGCAAATCGAAATCGAAATGGCAACTAAAAATGGCCGTGAGCCGAATGCAATTTCGACTCTATGTTTAGCTGTTCAGCCTCGAGTACCTTTATTTAATTTATTGTTCAATTATGCGTCCAGGCAACGCCCACCAGACACACACACACACACATACACACAGAGCCAAACAGCCAGCAGCAGTCGAGGTGTTTGTCGCTATCGCAAGTTGGCAATCAAATTAACAATGAGCACGCAAATAGCCACAAATGATTGCGCGAATGCAACTGCGAGTGCAGTTGGCAGTTATTTCTATATATGTATGTATATAGTCGATTTTATATGCTCAAGCTGATTTATGCACTGTCTAAGTGTTTTCCAACACTGAAATAAACACTTGCAGCATTTAACTTGACAAGTGAAATTTCGAATTCTCCTGTTGTATATGTGTGTGTGTGTGTGCCTTCAACTTGACCATAAAAGATGGCCGGCAAAATGCTAACGGTACAACAATTCCAACAGCCATGCGATACGTGTTTGCCATGCGGCCGGCAAACTTTTCCAACTGCAAATTTGATTTTTTTCTTTTTTTGTATTTTATTTTTTTGTTCACTGCAGTTTCGCTCTGATTTTATGGTCATAGTTTAATGGGACATTTTTTGAAGTACGTGAGCTGCTGCTGCTGCTCCAACTCCTGCTGGCTAAGAGGCGAAGTGTGCAACAGAGTTAAGCATTTTGCATTCTGCACTTTGCATTCTGTATTTGGCATTTGAGCAGTGCTCGAACACACTTACAAATCTGATAGAAATAAAAGTGCTTGAATAAAATAACTCGCTTGAATAATAACCTCGATGTTGTGTAAGTGAGAATGCAATATATATTATATACAT